ACACTGGATCCTCCTGTTTTATTCCCTCTGGAGGCCAGGTATACATCACCTGGTTCTTCTGGACAGACACCAGTTTCTGTATGCCCTGCTTCCCTAATTGGATTGACCTGTGAAGCCATAGCTGTGCGATCTCTAGTTCTGACACCTGCATCCGTGGTTCAAATTAAGAGATTAATTTTTCCCACCTCCATGCGTCAAATGTACCTTCCCGGGGAATTTCCCATCTGGTACCCTTCGACCATTTATTCCATCTTTTGAGGGGTTCTGTAGACTTCCCCCCCAAACTCACCTTCATCAGCTGTGCAGCTGTCCTCACCCTGAAGAGGGCTGGTTCCCCCTCTCTCTTCATGGACTGACTACTGCCCATCGTGACTAGTCATTGGTATATATCCCGCGTCCGGGTACCTGTTTACCCCTTGGAGCACTCGGGGGGATCCTACCGAGAGGCCTGATTCCACCACTTTCCCAGCACAGCGTAATTTATGTGATTCTTATCAATCACCCGAAGCGCATCAAGTGGCGGTCAGACTGAGAGCACACCTCCCACTCCCACAGCACAATTTATGTGATTCTGACCAACCGAAGTGTTTGTGGTAACCAGGCTAAGCGTTTCACTTCCCTGGACCGCCCACTCGCACAGCACAATTTATGTGGTTCTCATCACCCACGGTGTTTGGCAGGCCACACCGCACAATGATGAAAGTGGCTTTTCTCTCCCTGCACAAAGTAGCTAACACAAGTCAAAACGAAAGGAGGGGTTCTTTGCTTGTTACTTAGGGGTCACTGGTTGCCCGGAAACCTGCTAACTGACCTTTAGGAAAATCGTGTAAAGAAAAAACTTTCCTAATACACACAGAAAATCCCTTTTCAACCAGTAAAACCGTTAAAGAGGACAAAGTGGAGCCTTATGAAAAACTCGGGACGTTTAGCAGTAAAACAACACGAGGTAAACTGAGAAACTGCGCCATAAATAACCCCGGTTGCTGACGCGAAAATCTCTCCTACCAGCGCCACTAAACGATCCGCGCTACACCCGCAATCTTCGCTGCAACTGCCTAAAAAAACAAACCCGCTTTACAAAAAGGAACTACTTTTAACAAGAAAAACACAATCACTATACAAGAAATCTATGCGCAAAACCCCAAACTTCACCACGCTCACTAAATGTGGAACACGTGAGGGAAAAACTCGCTTAACACACTTTAAATTGGCTGGCAATACGCAAATTTAAAGCTAAAAGCAAACAACTTAAACCAAGCTTTTGATTGAAGGTGGTAGCGTACCCAGAGCTAGTTGTGATGCCCTCGTGGGTAACCCCCCTTGAACCAAAAGGAAGTAACAACGATGGAATAAAATACAAAACTGTAAAAATTGGATTAAAAATACAATGTGGGTCAAATGCATATAGAAAACTGTATACACATTGCATAGAGATTACAGCACATGTGGTAGTGTCAGGAATGGACTTGCCAGTGGTGGTGGGACTCACCTGCCTTGTGGGCTGCAGTACCAGGGGCTGGCCAGCGGGTGCTCTCAGCAACTAGAGGCTCACTCCTGCAATGAGCCATCACCTGAGACTGATTACAGCAGGTGTATTTAAGGAATGGCCAGGCCTGTGATCAGGGCCTTGGTGCATGTTTCCCATGAGCCCCTGTACCTGCACCCTGTCTGCTTCCTGCCTGATCCTGATCCTGCTTTAATCCTGACTCTGCATGAACTCTGCCTGTCCTGACCTTGTCTATTCCTGACTACGCTTCCGCCTGCTCCTTGTACCTTGCCTGCCCGTTTGCTACCGACCTGGCCTGCCCGACTACGTTTAGTATTGTTCTTATTGTTATCTGTTGGAGGTTTGGTTGCACTGTGTTTATGTTTAGTCTTGCACTGCGTTTATGTATTGTTTAGTCTTTAATAAATTGTATTGTTTATACTATAACTGGAGCCTGTGTTTCCCTGTGTCAGTCCACACATTTCTGGTCATACCCGGATCCCTAACAGAACACCAAGGCCATTCCTGACCAGAAGTGGCTGCACAGGGGAGCCATCTTGGCTTATTGTTGCTGGGAAGGATGCATCTTGATGAGGTGGTGTATTTGTCTCTGCTAGTCTTTGATGACAGAGATTATGCTTATCAGACTCTGAAGGAGTATACCAGGGATCAACTACTAGAATGAATAAGGATCGCTCATTGCCTAGTAGATCAGGGCACAGAGTTCTCTGAGGTGCAACCATTGATTCAGGTTTGTGCAGAGTTGGCTTCATCTGGTACCCCCGAATGCAAGGATGAATTTTTGCCGCCATTTAGTGCCGACCAGGTAGAGTCCCTGGTGTGGTTATTGGAGGATGATGTGGATTACTTCTTGGAGCATTATTCTGCATGTTCACAACAGGTGCTAAGAGATTGTATAAACGCAGTGCAGTCTTGACCAGACAGGCTTTGTGTAAGCTGAGCTTTGTTCAACCCATACTGCAGACATGGTCAGACTTGTACCCAGCCTCAGTCAGCTTGTAACGTCATTCCTCTGCTCAAGGCACTCTTCCTGCATCCCCGACATCACCCCCAGTGACGGCCCAGTATACTCTGCTAACTACCACATATCAGTCCCCTGCTCCCACTCGCTGCACCTATCCTATCTTTAACCCTGTAAAGAAGTCCTCTGTAGCAACTGCTCCCTCCTTTGTTCCATCCCTCAGCTCTTCTCTGCCTACAGCTGCTCTATCCACTTACAAACCTGCGCTTACTTCCTGCACTCCAGTAACTAAAACCAGGAAAAAGCAAAAATTCTTTCCAACCAATACCATCCTGCCAGTATTCAAACCGGTCAGCCTGCCGTCTGAGAACCCGCCTTCCATGGTTCAGCCTGATACCCTGATGCCCGATGTCCCAGTGTACCCTACCCAGCTTGATGTGTCTACCGGTGCCCGCTGTCGAGCCAGACAATCCAATGCCTGATGACCCGGTGCCCACTGTCGAACCAGATGACCCGGTACCCGCTGTCGAGCCAGATGACCTGATGCCAGATGACCCAATGCCCGCTGTCGAGCCAGATGACCCGCTGCCCACTGTCAAGCCAGATAACTCGATGCCTGATGACCCGGTGCCCGCTGTCGTGCCTGGGGACCCGATGCCCGCTGTCGAGCCAGATGACCCGGTGCCCGCTGTCGAACCAGACGATCCAATGCCTGATGACCCGGTGCCCGCTGTCTTGCCAGATGACTCGGTGCCCGCTGTCATGCCAGTTGACTCAGAGCCCTCTGTCGTGCCTGGTGACTCGGTGCCCGCTGTCTTGCCAGATGACTCGATGCCCGATGTCTTGCCAGATAACTCGGAGCCCGATGTCCTGCCAGTTGACTCGGTGCCTGCTGTCGTGTCAGTTGACCCGGAGCCCGCTGTCGTGCCAGATGACTCGGAGCCCGCTGTCTTGCCAGATGACTTGGTGCCCACGGTCTTGCCAGATGACTCGGTTTCCGCTGTCTTGCCGGATGATTCGGTGCCCGCTGTCTTGCCAGATGACTTGGTACCCGCTGTCGTGCCAGATGACTCGGTACCCGCTGTCGTGCCAGATGACTTGGTACCCGCTGTCGTGCCAGATGACTCGGTGCCCGCAGTCAAGCCTGGTGACCCGGTGCCCGTGGTTCTGCTAGATGGCTCAGGGCCCGCTGTCGTGCCAGAGAACTCGGTACCCGCTGTTGTGCCAGACGACTCGGTACCCACTGTCGTGCCAGATGACTCGGTACCTGCTGTCGTGCTAGATGACTCGGTGCCCGCTGTCAAGCTTGGTGACCCAGTGCCCGCTGTCGTGCCAGATGGCTCGGTGCCCACTGTCGAGCTTGGTGACCCAGTGCCCGCTGTCGTGCCAGATGACTCGGTGCCCGCTGTCGTGCCAGATGACTCGGTGCCCGCTGTCATGCCAGATGACTCGGTGCCCGCTGTCATGCCAGATGACTCGGTGCCCGCTGTCGAGCTTGGTGACCCAGTGCCCGCGGTTCTGCCAAATGACTCGGTGCCTGCTGTCCTGCCAGATGACTCGGTGCCCGCTGTCGAGCTTGGTGACCCAGTGCCCACGGTTCTGCCAGATGACTCGGTGCCCGCTGTTCCGCCTGATGGCCCGGTACCCGCTGCTCCGCCTGATGGCCCGGTGCCCACTGCCTTGCCTGCTGCTCCACCTGATGGCCCGGTGCCCGCTGCTCTGCCTGATGGCCCGGTACCCGCTGCTTCGCCTGATGGCCCGGTGCCCGCTGCTCCGCCTGATGGCCCGGTGCCCGCTACTCCGCCTGATGGCCCGGTGCCCGCTGCCTTTCCTGCTGCTCCGCCTGATGGCGCGGTGCCCGCTGCTCCACCTGATGGCCCGGTGCCCGCTGCCTTGCCTGCTGCTCCGCCTGATGGCCCGGTGCCCGGTGCTCCACCTGATGGCCCTGTGACCGGTGCTCCGCCTGATGGCCCGGTGCCCGGTGCTCCGCCTGATGGCCCGGTGCCTGCTGCTCTGCCTGATGGCCCGGTGCCTTCTACTCCACCTGATGGCCCGGTGCCTTCTACTCCACCTGATGGCCCGGTGCCTGCTGCTCTCCGCCTGATGGCCCGGTTCCCGCTGCTCCGCCTGATGGCCCGGTGCCTGCTGCCTCTGCCTGCTGTCCCACCTGACGTGCCTCTGCCTGCTGTCCCACCTGACGTGCCTCTGCCTGCTGTCCCGCCTGACGTGCCTCTGCCTGCTGTCCCGCCTGACGTGCCTCTGCCTGCTGTCCCGCCTGACGTGCCTCTGCCTGCTGTCCCGCCTGACGTGTCTCTGCCTGCTGTCCCGCCTGACGTGCCTCTGCCTGCTGTCCCGCCTGACGTGCCTCTGCCTGCTGCCCAGCCTGACGTGCCTCTGCCTGCTGCCCAGCCTGACGTGCCTCTGCCTGCTGCCCAGCCTGACGTGCCTTTGCCTGCTGCCCAGCCTGACGTGCCTCTGCCTGCTGCCCAGCCTGATGTGCCTCTGCCTGCTGCCCAGCCTGACGTGCCTTTGCCTGCTGCCCAGCCCTGACGTACCAGCTCCTGATGCCCAGCCTGCTTCTGGAAGTCCTGTGTCCAGCAATCTGCCTTCCTGAAGTCTCCTACAAAAAGATAGGCCTATCAGCAGGAGACCCAGCCAATGGCTTGATTCCGGCAGTGGGATGTCCAGCCAGTTGCCGGACCCAGGCGGTGGAACAGTTGGGCCATTACGGACTGTTTGGAGCGTCCTGAGGCCGCTCCTTGAGAGGAGGGGTACTGTCAGCAATGGACTTGCCAGTGGTGGTGGGACTCACCTGCCTTGTGGGCTGCAGTACCAGGGCTGGCCAGCGGGTGCTCTCAGCAACTAGAGGCTCACTCCTGCAATGAGCCATCACCTGAGGCTGATTACAGCAGGTGTATTTAAGGAATGGCCAGGCCTGTGATCAGGGCCTTGGTGCATGTTTCCCATGAGCCCCTGTACCTGCATCCTGTCTTCTTCCTGCCTGATCCTGATTCTGCTTTAATCCTGACTCTGCATGAACTCTGCCTGTCCTGACCTTGGCTATTCCTGACTACGCTTCCTCCTGCTCCTTGTACCTTGCCTGCCCGTTTGCTACTGACCCGGCCTGCCCGACTACGTTTAGTATTGTTCTTATTGTTATCTGTTGGAGGTTTGGTTGCACTGTGTTTATGTTTAGTCTTGCACTGCGTTTATGTATTGTTTAGTCTTTAATAAATTGTATTGTTTATACTATACCTGGAGCCTTTGTTTCCCTGTGTCAGTCCACACAATTCTGATCATACCTGGATCCCTAACAATGACAGAGTTAAAAAAAAATTGCCCTGTTTTTTTGTAGCGGCAGGAGAGTCATCCTCTGGCTGGTTATTCGACCTTCATCCAAGACGTGTCCGTTTTGGTGGTGGGTGAGCCATGGCATAGGCTGAACTGTGGGTATATGTGATGAGCAGTCTCATTGTCCATGCTACCCTGTTGCAGCTTCAGCTAGGCACACTTGTCCAGTCCCAGGAGCAGTGAACTTTTTCCTGCCAGCTTAAAATATGTGGTTTTTACAGGGCTAAACCAGCTCCCAACCCTCCTCCTTCCTTTCGCAGCATGGGCTCGTGACCAGGCCTTGGCAAGGGGAATATGTGTAATGTGTGCTGCTTTTTACTAATCGTTCCCTCTGTCCTGAGCCCTGTTTTGTCAGGGCTTTGATTGGGACATGGTGTAGTTGCAAACTTCACACAAGGTCAGGTGGAGCGCATGAAGAGCAGTGGTAAAGCAATCTTCCAGTTTCGGAGGGGAGCGCAGAGTTCCCCTGCACTTTACATGTGCTTGCACACAACCCTCACGCGCAACTTTTGAACCAGCTCTACACCCCAATGAGCAACTTCCAAGTGTTATGGAATGGGGTCTGGGCCATTTCTCTCAGAACCAACCGCGCTCAGAGAGGTCTTCATTGCTGCACTGCCACTGAACCTCCCCAGACGGATCATCACCTCAGTGTCACTGAACTTTCCCAACTGCTCTGCAAATGTTTTTTAGAGGGCTGGTTTGCTTTCCCAATACCCAACCTTCCTCTTTTCGCAGCACGGGCTTAGGACCGGCCATGGCAGAGTTAAAAAAAAATTGCCCTTTTTTTTGTAGCGGCAGGAGAGTCATCCTCTGGCTGGTTATTCGACCTTCATCCAAGACGTGTCCGTATTGGTGGTGGGTGAGCCATGGCATAGGTCGAACTGTGGGCGTATGTGATGAGCAGTCTCATTGTCCATGCTACCCTGTTGCAGCTTCAGCTAGGCACACTTGTCCAGGCCCAGGAGCAGTGAACTTTTTCCTGCCAGCTTAAAATATGTGGTTTTTACAGGGCTAAACCAGCTCCCAACCCTCCTCCTTCCTTTCGCAGCATGGGCTCGTGACCAGGCCTTGGCAAGGGGAATATATGTAATGTGTGCTGCTTTTTAATAATCGTTCCCTCTGTCCTGACACACTGACACAAACGACGGTGCCCCATCATTGGTGTCTGTCGGAGGAATAGTGCCCCATCATTGGTGTCAGTGGGAGGAATAATGCCCCATCATTAGTGTCAGTGGGAGGAATAGTGTCCCATTGTTGGTATTAGTGAGAGGAATAGTATCCCATCATTAGTGTCAGTGGGAGGAATAGTGCCCCGTCGTTGGTGTTGGTGGGAGGAATAGTGCCCCGTCATTGGTGTTGATGGGAGGAACAGTGCCCCGTCATTGGTGTCGGTGGGAGGAATAGTGCCGTGTCGGTGGGAGGAATAGTGCCCTGTTGTTGGTGTCCGTGGGAGGAATAGTGCCCCGTCGTTGGTGTCGGTGGGAGGAATAGTGCCCCGTCGTTGCTGTCGGTGAGAGGAATAGTGCCCCGTCGTTGCTGTCCGAGGGAGGAATAGTGCCCCGTTGTTGGTGTCCGTGGGAGGAATAGTGCCCCATCATTGGTGTCTGTGGGAGGAATAGTGCCCCGTCATTGGTGTCCGTGGGATGAATAGTGCCCCATCATTAGTGTCAGTGGGAAGAATAGTGCCCCGTCATTGGTGTCAGTGTGGGAGGAATAGTGCCCCGTCATTGATGTCAGTGTGTGTGGGGGGGAATATGTCCCATCGTTGGTGTCACTGGGGGGATGAATAGTGAACCATCGTTGGTGTCAGTGGGGGGGGGGAAATAGCACCCCATCATTGGTGTCAGTGGGAGGAATAGTGCCCCATCATTTGTATCAGTGATACCAATGATGGGGCACTATTCCTCCTGCTGACACCAATGATACTTACCTTGCTGACCCCTGCTCCAGCCTGGGCTCGCTCCATCCCTCTCCCATTCTCAGCCAGCATACCTGGCTGCAGCTGCACCATCTTCACAGCCCAGACACGTACCGGTCAGTTGTCTTCCTTCTCCGGCTGCTCTCCTCTTCACTCGCTATGGCTGCTCCCCCTCACTAGATCTTCTTTGCTCTCCGTGCTGCCGATAGGCTCCTCCTCTTCAAGCGCCGCCTCCTCGCCGGTGTTTGGCCACCTGTGTGCCTTTCCTGAGCTACAGTTCCAGCGGCCAATCACCGGTGAAGAGGCGGAGCTTGCAGAGGGAGGGACAAGCTGCTATAGGCTGTTGAGTGATCCCGGGGTGTGACCAGATGACGGGGCGGTATGTCATCCCGCCCACTCATCCCGATCCAGGGAAATGAAGACATCGGACCTGTTGACCGGACAACCTCTTTACCCCTCCTCCAGCAGCGCTTCGTGGACCGGATTGACGTGGGACTGGGACATGGAGTCACGGACTCAGGTAAGACACAGCAGCCCGCCCCTGTACTAAATGTCCCTTCCGTGGAAAAGGAGGGGTGGCGCCGCCGCTGTGCCGCCCCCCTAAAAAGTGCCGCCCTAGGCAAACGCCTTGTTTGCCTCACGGCAAATACGCCTCTGTGTACAACACTACTCAGCTAAAAAAGATCTCTCTGATGTATTTTAAAGGGTCGTCCTCTTCATCAGATAGAGTCTCGGGCAGGGTTGTGTTTGAGGAGTCTTTAGGAGGTGACTGTGTCAATTGTGGGCTGTGGGATGCTTCTGGAGGTGTCTGAGGTTTCTCGTCTCAATCTTTGCAGGATTCTGCCTTATCCCCTTCTATAGAAGCTTCAGTTTCCCCCTCACTGCCCCGATCCTTTTTACTCTAAAGTAGAATCAGAACTACAGTTGGCATAAGGGCAGTGTGGAATTTCTTTTCTGTCTGCTATTAAACACAGTGAGTGGAATTTCTCAAAATTTGAGCAGTCAGAAACCCATCAACTTCTATCATATACAGTATTTTCAAAGCTAAAAGTGGAAGTAAAGTCTACATATAAGACTGCTTAAATCTCCTCCCTCCTCCTCTCCATGCTGTATAGTGTTGGTGCAAAAAGATGTGTGTAAATACCTTTTTTTAATCCGTTCTGGTGCAGTCACCTGATGCAGATGCTCCGGCTACCCTGTGTCATGGAGTGGCTGATGCAGGGGAGAGGAAGGATTGCTGACAGTGAAGGGGCAATGGAAACTGGTTGCTGATGTCCACCAGCAGTATACAGTAAAGGTAGGAGAAGGGGGAAGCAGCTTTTTAAGAAGTCTTATGTGTAGCCTTTACATTCACTTTAAGTCCTCATGCACACTGGACATTTTTACAGCGGCTGTTTTTGGCTTTTGACGTTTTTTTCCCCACAGCCAGTAAACCCCCCAGCATGTTTTCCTATGTGTCCATACACACATAGACTGTATACAACGTTTTTTGGCAGGGACCTTTTTTGGCTGGAGAAAAAAACCCAGGACTAGTGGGTTTCTAGAGGAGTTTTTTTAGCTGGAA